GCTCTAAAAACTTTTACTTGTCTAGTTTTCTTTCCCGCACTTTAACTCTTTGGGACAACAAACAAAAAACAAGAAATGGCAGACAACTATGTGGTCCTTTTTTTAGTTAAGAGAGTGGTTATAGTGCATCATTTATAGACAAAATTGAGTTTGACACGCAGATGCTAGCTTGAACTCACCACTCTTTGCAGATAACATTGGCAGAGGTTAATAAATCATTTGTATCAAAAATAAAATCACCTCCAAAACTTTTTTTTTCAAATACAATAATGTTTGATCAAACATCATTATGTTTTTTATTTCCCATTATATATCACATATCATATTTAGTATTTAGTATAAATTTCGTATTGCAAGTAAATAAATCTAAAAATATATTGTTTAAATACAAAGGTTTTTTTTTTTCTAATATAAAGAAGTCTTGTCATCGAGGGCCGCTAAATCCTTAAATAAATTAAAATAGTTAGATAAAAACATAGGCTCGGTAAGTATAAATACCAACAGTGGTCAAATGTGTATAATGTTTGAATAAAGTTTTCTTTCAAAATAAATATCTAAACATTTTAGAAAGCGATTGAAAGCAAATATTCAAAAATATAGAAAATATGTAAAAATAAATACAGACGTTGGGGACATTATTAAAAATAGTGATCTTGGAGTATTAATTTAGTTTTTTACTGTTATTATTGTTATTGTTTTTATTATTATTATTATTATTATTATTATTATTATTATTATTATTATTATTATTATAAATTTGCCGCCTAAAATAATTACAATTTGTAAAATATACAAATGGCGGGGACAAGAAGAAGACAAAATATTTTTATCGCCAAGCCAAATAATCCGTAAATAATATAGCCATCAAAACTTATAAATAAAAATGTTGTCAAATATAAATACAAAAAAATTGAAAAAAAATAAAGATAATAAATTCTAAAATTTATTTTCAACAATAAATGAACACAAAGTAAAAATAAAAAAACAAACAAACGAAAAAAATATTCAAAATTATATACAACAGTTTTCAATTATTAAGATTAAGAATTCAGAATTAAGAAATATAATAAAAAGAATCAAAAATTTTAAGAAAAAATTTTTTTTTTATATAATAAGCAAAATCTAAAATAAATAATAACAGTTTTTTAAAGAACCTAATTTTTTAAATCTTTACAAATAAAAAGAAAATATACAATATTTTAAAGACCAAAGAATTAAATATCGGTCTAGCAGAAGTCCCTCATGTTTTGATTAATTGAAATTATTTCTTTTAGTTTTAATTAAAAAATATTTATGTTTGAAAGCGTTTTGATGCCGTTTCTGATTACTATACTCCATAATTGGGGGCTTCTAGCTGTGATAGAAAACCGAGTGGCTTCAAAGTGAATTTTAGCTTAAATATAGTTATTGTTTGCATGTCTAGTAAGATATTCGCGCTCCATCTTTTATATTACTATAATATTACGCCAGTTTAAAAGTATCCTTATTCAACGTATATATGAATAAAAAACTACATAACTTTTTTCATCAAAAAATAATAATAATAATAATAAAATTTTAACAATAATAATAATAAGAAGAAGATGAAGTTAAAGAAGAAGTAGAAAACTATATTTAAAAGCTGTTAAACAACGCGGAAACTTTTTTAGACATGCTTTTATACATTTAAATACATAATGAATAATGAAATACTGCCTCAATTCACCAAAGATATACAAATAGAAAAACTTTTAACGCATTGTTACAGATCAGAGGCGCCACTATAACTGAAATCCCATGGGCGTTATTTATTTTAGCGTTTTGGTTTTTTTGTAGTAATTTTACAAAATAAACCGACATATATATCCGACACTTTAGCTTGCCAACTTCTTTCAGTAAACATTTTATTACCTGCAAAACACCAACTTTTGGAAAATGTAAATGGATTTTATTTTAACTATTTTCGGAGCATACATCAATCGCAGTAAAAAGATAGGAAATAATAATAATAATAAAACACCAGACTTCTAAAATGCAAAAAATAAGAAATCTTTAGTAATAAATATGTTAAAAAAGAAAATAAATAAATAAAAAGTAACAAGATATTGAATTATTTTTCTGTAATCAGTTAGTTTTCTACAATTAGTTCTTCCACTCAGTGCTTAAAATGTTCTAAACTTAATTTATCGTACAACGACTTCTTTTATTAAAAAATCTCCACGTTCAAAAATTATAAAAGTTTAAACATTCGTTAGATAAAGTTTAAATAAAAATTTTAAATTTATTTTTAACTATGCTAAACAAAAGGTGAGTTATTAATGATTCACGTGCTCATTCACGTGATTCAAAATCTAAAAGATTTAAAAATATGATTTTTTTTTAATTGAAAGAAAATAAAATTAATTTTGACACGTGCTTTTTGAATTGAAAAGAAAACGTACCTCAAAATGCGATGTTTTTAAAAACCTAATAATGGCACTTAAAAGCAATTTGATTCACTTGACGTTTAGTCAAAGTACATATGTTTAGATTTCTTTAAAATAATTACATAGAATAAAATCCTTATAGTTTAGAATATAGTTTTATTATATAACACCTATTTGTATGTAATAACTTATTACTAACAAAGTAATTAATCTTAGTAATAATAAGTTTTTTTCACCCTTAACGAAAATAAGTTGTACCGCACGACCATATTACACCACGGTATTACAGTAACTGTAAGATTAATAGAAGTTTCTATTAGTTGAAGGTCATACCAAATTTCTCATTCTTAGATCGATATAGACTATACATTGTTTCACTGCACTCTAGAATTAGATTTCACTAATCTCTAAAGAGTTTAAATTTAACGATTATATCTCATATTTGACGGAAATTAAAAACTGATTTCTCTGACAGCTTTTGTATTATTCTACCATCGTCATAACTTTTTAAATACCATCGTCAAAACTTTTTAAAGTCTCCAATTAATAAGAAATTATGCGAAAAAATGATATTTTCAAGAAGTGTACGAATAGAGATTTGCAATGGTACGACTGGACAGAAAACGAAATAATGATGCAGTAAATTTTGAACCACCGACAAATAAACTGAGAGAAGTTTCAGTCCATACGCGAAGTGATTGACTTAAAAAAAGTTTTAAAACAATAAAAAAAGAAATCTCTTTGCTAATAGCTAAAAGAGCTATTTAAAAAATGTAAATTTACAATTTTTTTTAAAAAGAAGACTTTGACACGCATCGCTAATTTTATTTTAAAAGTAGGAGATCATTCGCTCTTTTGCGCTGGGATTTTTATTAAACTTTAATTAAAATGCTTATTAATTTTTGGTTTACTCTGCGAGAGAAATCTTTTAATCTTTTTGGCTTTGTTTGTTAACTAAACATAACGTTCCGTAATTTATGGACAACAAATTTACTGTTTATATATACTTGTTACTGTTTAATTTGATAGTAATAAACAGAAAAAATTTTATAAATTGTATTTTCGGAAACTAATTATCCGGAAAAAAGTTTAAAAAATATCCGGAATTCCGGAAATATCCGGAAAAAGATAATTCCTGGTAGAACCATTTCTATATAAACTGACATTAAAGCTAGGTCATTCAATGACATTTTTAACACTCTACTTCTTGACTAAGTTTTTAATCTCTTCGTACCTAGATTTAAATCTTTGAAATATTCAAGAATGTTGGCGGGGGGGGGGGGGGGGGAATCAGTCATTGTCATGACTTTTGTTTAAAAAATACTAGATGGGGGTTTTGACTGATCTTTCTGAAGAGGCTTCCATAATCCAATTCTGCATGAATAAAGGTTGAATACAGAGTTGGAATGATAGATATATAGAAATTCATGAAAGTAGATTTGCAAATTTTAGTTAGTTTTTAGGTAACTTAAGATAACAGTTGGAACTGCAAACATCCCATATAAACCAACTTGCTTTCTGTTTGAAATCTTATATAATTAATAAGCTCATTAATAAGATGGTCCAGCAAAGGTAAAGTGATAGAAAGCTTAATATAATCAGATGATGAATGATTATCATGATTGATTTGCTTTCTACATTTTCTAGTTTTTTGTTTTCTTTTACATTAAAAGTCATAGCTTATTCAAAAGCAATATTAGACCAGTTGTAGCGATATAAATCAATACCAAATTTAATCTCTTGAAGCGTGTTTAATTGTCAATTTCAAGATTCTGAAATTTGAGACATGTCGTATTGCTTATCTTGGAGTCTAATTACAATCTAAAAAATTCAAACCATCAAATTTTGGTTAAAACTAAAGTTACATTGAAATAAAATTCAAACATTAACTATAAAGAGACTTTAGCTAAAAAAAATGCCTAGATTTTTCTGTTTTTAAACCCAACAGTAAAACAGACATTAATTAGCTTTGATTTACCAACAGAAATATAATTATTTGAACATGCCTCTAATTTTTTTTAAAAAAGAGCACATTTAAATAATTAAGGACAGTTAACAAACTTTAAGAAATTTTTACGAGTATTATAGTTATTGCCTACATATCTTATAACGATAGACTACTGTTTAAGATTGGCACAATCAGATGCTTTATCAGCTAAAATTGAATAGTATTTACTAATATTGATTTCAGAAATTAGAATCTTCTCAAAAGCCTCACTACAACACTCCATAAGTTGATTTTGTGTGGTTTAAGAAATAATGTAATATTATTAGGGGCTGATATTAAATGATTTTAAAAATAGAATCAACTTATAAGATCCTCTTTAATTAAAGCTTCAATTTGAAGATTAAAATATTTTTGAAGAAATAAAAATGTAATATTTTAATTATTTACATTTATAGCAAAAAACAATAAAAATTGTTTATATAGCTCTGTGGCAAAACTATTGTTTATAGTATTAAACTGTTTTAGTTAAATGTTATAAGAATTTTTAAACAATAAGCACAGAAACAGTTGTATATAAGTAAACTAGTTACAGTTATAAAAAGCTAGTTATTTTTATTACAAATATAGTCCGTGAAAACATAGTTAAAAATATACCTTAAAGCTACAAAAGTTTTGTCAAAACATTGATCCATTTTAAAATATGGCATAAAAACATTTATATCAGGGCATTTTCAAACCAAAAGTTTAACTACGAAATTGGTGAGATATTCAAGCCATTTCGTTTTGTAAACAATTTTTTTCGCAACATTTAATGTTATGAATGTGAATCAATAGCATTTGGAACAGTTTTTTTTTCAAAACATATCCGCCATAATTACCAACTTACTAAGAAAACAATAAAGGCGCTTTGCTTATTTGAAAATCCACAAGGCAATACCAATCTAGCCGGTTAGCCTTAGATAGGATGCACCAAAAGTACATTTATAATTTTTTTAAAAACGCCGACCTAGAAAGCGCGTCACAAGTTTAGCGCATGCGTTTTTCAAATCTTAAAGTCCTCGTGAATTCAAAGTAATTTTTTTGTATTTAAAACGAGTTCACTTTATATTCTTGACATCAAAATGAATGAAAAAAACTTTTGCCAAGATTTAGAAGATGTAGCGAGTAGGATGTATTTTTATTAGTTTATTATTTATCTTTTATTATTCTCTATTCAATTATTGAGTAAGATTTTTACTTAATTTGGCGGACTTGTACACGACGCACCCCCTATGAAATATTAATAATCGTGACCAAAACTGTCCCAATTCTTACGTTCAAATAATAAATGTATATTTCGTTGTGTTAATCCCTATTTATTAGTCAAAGCATTTACATTTAATTCTATTCATCACTTATGATCAATTGAGGTAATTACACTTTAAATAATTAAATTAATTAATTTTACTTGGTCAGTAAAATAGCATTTTCGATAAAACGTGTTTTAAACTTAAGGGGGTGCGTCGTATACAAGTCCGCCTCATTTATTTATGTATATATATATGTATATATATATATATATATATATATATATATATATATATATATATATATATATATATATACACATATATATATATATATATGTATATATATATGTGTATATATATATATATATATATATACATATATATATATATACATATATGTATATATACATATATATATATATTTTGTAAATATATATAATATATATATATATATATATATATATATATATATATGTATATATATATATATATATATATATATATATATATTATATATATTTACAAAATCCGCATTAGCTCTGCATAAAACATTTTGCAAAAAATAAATTATTTGGGAACAAACAAAAACATTGAAAGTAGAAAAAAAAAATTTGAAAGAAAAGTTAGGGAAGCCCTAGAAATACAAAAAAACATGTGTTCTGCAAAAAATGGCGGGATTAATCTCGATGAGGGTCAATACGTAAAAACTAAGTTTTGGACGCCATTTTTTAAATTTCAGCGGAAAAGAAGCCATTCAACCGCTGACGTCAATATCAATAGCAACGTTTTAATTTAAATTATAACGATTTTATTAATTACTGTAACATTTAACAAGCTGAAGAAGCTGGTATCTAAAATCCAGCGAAAATTTCTATAATAATAAAAAATTATAAGTGTTGAGAGAAATCGTATTTTTGATGTTTTAAAATAATATATAAATATACTCTCACACAAGATGTTATCCTTTAAATCATATATATATATATATATATATATATATATATATATATATATATATATATATATATATATATATATATATATATATATATATATATATATATATATATATATAATCTTTAAAAGTCATTTTCTTGTTATACGATAATAATAAAATATGTAAAATTCAATAAAAATGGCTGCGTATAAACTTTTTAACAAAACACATTCATGGAGCTTATGAATTTAATACAATTACAAACACAATACATGGAGCTTATGAATTTCAAATACATCGAAAAGAAGCAATAACTAATATTCAACTAAAACCTAACTCAAGCATCAATCCTAATATTATCACTGGCGTATTCAAATTAATTTTTTTTTATGTTGTGCAAAGAGATTATGCTCTCAAAAATATCTCAAACAAGAAATTGATTTTTTAATAGAAATGTTTGTTGAAAACAGGCACAACAAGAACAATCTAATTAATATCACCAGAAACTTTCTAAAAAACGAATTAAAAAATACCAATTATAAACCAACTGACATCCAACCATTTATAAAACTACCATGGATACCAATCGTTGGTCCCAAACCTAGAAAGGAACTTAGAAAACAAAACATAAAAGTTATATTTACATCCGCTCCAAATTTAAACAATATTTTATGCAACAATAAGACAAAACTTCCTCCAAACCCAGGGGTCTACCAACTAAAATGTTCATGCAATTCTATATACATTGGAGAAACTAAGAAGAAAGTTATATCAAGATGTATTGAACACCAGAAAAATAGTGTTAAAGGAAAATGGGCCAGTTCAGGTGCTACCAAACATTCCAAATCATGGGTACATTTGATTGGTTATATCCCAAAACCATATCAATCGCTCCAGAGTATCATATTCGGAAAATTCGAGAGTCACTCGAAGTAAATAGAGCTAAAGTTCGACAAAAACTTGGAAGTGATGAAAAAGTTTTAAATAGGGATGACGGTGATTACGTGACGACAAAAACTTGGGGGCCATTTTTTGTCAGATTATTTGACGTCAACATTTAAAGCTATTTTGTATTTTGTTATGCTCTTTTTAATGTTAACTTTTAACGGTTAGTTTTTATTACAACAATTTTCTTTGTAACGATTTTTATTTATTACACCTAATGACGCTGATCACAATAGATCAGCGAAATATCGAAAAAATATATTAAAATAAAAACAAATATAAATATATTTTTTTAAAAGTTTATACGCAGCCGTTTTTATTGAATTTTACATATTATATATATATATATATATATATATATATATATATATATATATATATATATATATATGTATATATATATATATATATATACATATATATACACACATATATATATATATATATATATATATATATATATATATATATAATATGTATATATATATATATATATATATATATATATATATATATATATATATATATATATATATATATATATATATATATATATATATATATTTCCACATAACAACTGCATATATATAAACAATAGTGAGGGACATTTACAAACAGTTAAAAACTGATGATGCGTAAAGACCTACGATGATAGAAAACAATGATTGTAAAATTTTAACAATAATAAATATAACTATAATAATACTAATAGTAATGATAATAAATAACATAAAAGGCTAACATAACAAAGTAATAAATTAAATTAATAATTAGTAGTCAAAAGTAATAATAATAGTGAATTATAAGCAATAATAGTAATATCAAGTTAGGTATATTTATAAGCAAAACAATGATATCAAAAATAAGATAATAATGCATTATTAGTAAGTGGGAAGACAGGGTTAGTAGAAAGTTGGCTAAATAAAAGATTTTTTTTCAAATTTTTTTATTTTTTTGAACTTTTTTATTTTTATTTTTATTCTTTATCTGTATAGTGTTGTTTTATATATGCATACTAACTTTAATGTTTAGTGCAATAATAAAATTAAATTTTGGGTATATGTATATATATACACACATATACACACATATATATACATACACACACATAAATATACATACATATATATACACATACATACATACACACATGTACACATACACACACGTGCACACATACATATGTATATATACACACACACACATGCATACATACACATACCCATGCATACACACATATGCTTACATACACATGCACACATACACACATGCGTACATACACATGCACACATACACACACATGTATACATACGCATACAAACATACATAGACATATATGTACACACACACATATATAGATACATACACAAACACACACACACACACACATTCGCATATACACATACATACATACATATACATACACACACACACACACATATATATATATATATATATATATATATATATATATATATATATATATATATATATATATATATATATATATATATATATATACGTATATGTATTTTAAATTTTTAAATTTAAATTTTTGTTTAAATATATTTTTACTTTATAGATTAAATTTAATATATTATTTAATGTATTTAATATATTAAATTTTTTAAAAATTTAAGTATTTTTTTATTTTTTTTAACAATTTCAATTTTAATGATTTTTTTTCTTCACAATTTTAATGATTTTTTTTCTTCAGAATCTTTTGTTATTGTCATATAAAATGCATGTATACACATACCTACATATATAACCATACACATACATTGCATGTGCATTATACACATGTATATATAAAAACACACATACACACATATGTATACATACACATACACAGAAATTCAAACATACATACACTCAAATACACTTATACACATACTCATACACACACACACACACACACACATATATATATATATATATATATATATATATATATATATATATATATATATATATATATATATATATATATATATATATATATATGTTATACATATATATATTGCATATATATATTATATATATACAAAATATATATATATATACATATATATATATATATATATATATATATATATATATATATATATATATATATATATATATACATAAATAAATGAAATATAATATATGTAAATAAATATAATTATATAAGTGACTTATATTTATTTTAATTAGGTAAAAAAATTAAGTAAAAATCTTTCTCGATAATTGAATAGAGAATGATAAAAGATAAATAATAAACTAATAAAAATACATCCTACTCGCTACATCTTCCAAATCTTGGCAAAAGTTTTTTTGATGTCAAGAATCAGCGTTGCCAGATTTTTTTTGCGCTAAAATGCCAAATGCTTGTCTAAAAAATGCCAAATAATGCCAAATTTTTATTAATAATGCCAAAAAAAATGCCAACTTTTAAAATAGCAGAAAAACTTTATAAAAAAACATTGAACCTTATTTATTAACTATATATTCAATAAAACTATTTTGAAAGTCATATATTAATCAGTTTTAACATATTTTTTATATATTTTTCAATAAAAAAATGACGTTTAACATAGATTATTTATGTATTTATTAAATAGATAAGTATGTTCACTCAACTTTCAAATAAATATAAATCTAAAGTTAAAAAATATGAGTTAAAGAAAATTTCAAATTCTGTTAAAAGAATTATAAAAAATGTCTCAATATCAAACTTCCTTTAGTTTAAATCATCAATTAGAGTGAGATCATCTTCGACTAATTCATCATCGTCAGAATACATGTCCACTCCCAATTTAGTTAACATTTTGTCACTGATTTTAAAGCCTTTACAACATTTGTTGCGGCTAGCAAGGTAGGCTTTTACTCGCACTACACTGCTGAGCAATTTGTCTGACATTCTGTTTCTTGGTCTGTTTTTAACAAAGGTGACCTGAGAAAAAATACGTTCCACAAAAGCGTTTGATATAGGGAGAACAAGACAAGTTAGGCAATAGTCTGCTAGTTCCTTAAATGCTGCATCTCCTGATGTTTTTTTGTAGTGGCGAACTGCAGTCCAGAACTCAGTTGTATCTTTTGGTATACAAGAATTTTCAAACAGCTCCGTAGAAGACCAGTCAACCAAACTTACTTTTCTGTACTGATCTTCAATGTTTTGCGCTTAATCCTTCATAATATGCCTTAAAGGCAGATGAGTGAATGGCATTTTAGAACTTTGATGCAGAACCTTTGATGGTGAGAGATAAGATAGACCTTGAAAAATTTCTTTGTTTTCAGGTAGACGTTGATAAAGCTCTTTCAAAAGACGCAAAAGAAATTGAAGACAATCTGTTAGAACACTTTCAATGTTTTTTCTGGCTATTTCTTTTTGGGTTTGAGGATAAGTATCAATATATTTTTGGCAATCTGATAAAAACTTTGCCCCAAAGTCAACACGTTTTAGAGGCAGTTGAACTCCTTGGTTGTCAAGAACACGCTATTGTAGACTTTTGCAGTGTAGGTTTAGCTCTGAAACTAGCTTCTCAGGATCCACATTAGTGCTTTAAAAAAGAGCATTCAAACGCTCAAATTCTTGAACAATTGGTGTCAAAAAGACGACATAAAAATAGAGAGTTTCATCTTTGAACATGTTGTTAATTGTTGTAACTCTATACCTAATGCAAGCAGGAGCTTGAGCTTCAGCACATAAGAAATAGGCTTTTTATTCGTACCAATTCACCATCAAATTGTAAAGACATTTCCCTCTGACGAGCCATCGAGTAGCTGAATACTTTTGAAATGGTGATGGAGTTCCCATCATTTCATTGCTTGGATCCATTGTCTGAAAAAGAACTTTTTGAAAAAAATGAAGGAATTTCACTGAGCAGAAAGCCAACACTTGATGGCATTAATTCAAAGGAATGTTGAATAATGAGGTTCAGACGTCAACTTTGTTTCCAAAACAGCAAAAAGATCTGCACCAGTGGTTGATATCAGCAGCTAAACCAAGAAAGTCATCGATAACTGATTTCTGTTCATCTGAATAGTATCGAGCACAAATGCAAAGATGTTTTGTCAAAGAAACATCAGTTGATTCATCAATCAGGATGGAAAAAGGTTTATCTGCCATTGATTCAGAAATTTCTGATTCGATTGATGAAGAAATTACATTTTTAATAATTTGGGTACATTTGGTTCGATGCAGACGAAGGTTTTCAAGGGGACTATTTTTTCCATAAAGAGAAATGATTTCTCCAAGGTGATTTATCGTTGAAATGGGTGCATGAGAACACACGCAAAGAGCAAGATGAATATCTGCTTCACAGTCTGCTTTCTTTGATACTAAAGGAAACGTAATCTGGCTTTTTGTGTTAAGATGCTTTTCTCTTGTAGCATGTCTAAAAGTACCACTGTGCTGTTCTACAGACGATTTCCGTGGTTGTATAGTCACACGACAAAGGGTACAGAATGCTGATTTAGTACCATCAGAGCTTTTTTTAAGCCAAGGATAATCCGCTTCCCATTTTTCAAGGTACTTTCTTGAATTTATCCTCGTCATTGTGCTTAATGTTTTAATACAAATTAAATACAAACCAACTGAAAAAAAAATCAATTCAACAGTTTTTTTAAAAATGCCAAAAAAATGCCAAAATGCCAAAATAATGCCAATTTTACTAAATTTGGCATTAAAAAATGCCAGTTGGCAACACTGACAAGAATATAAAGTGAACTCGTTTTAAATACAAAAAAGTTACGAGGACTTTAAGATTTGAAAAACGCATGCGCTAAACTTGTGACGCGCTTTCTAGGTCGGCGTTTTTAAAAAAATTATAAATGTACTTTATACTTTATACTTTTTACTTAATACTTTTGGTGCATCCTATCTAAGGCTAACCAATCTAGCCACGGGCTACGAGTGTTGACGGCATACGACTTTTGAATAAAATTATATTACATTAAAAAAACAATAATTGAGTCAGCTTATGCCGTAAAATCAGACTTACCGATATGCAATAACCGATCTTTTTTTTAATTCCGGTTTTTTTTGGTTTTTGTAATCGCTTTTAAAGCCGAATTTACACAGCAAATAAAAATAAACTTATCTTAATTATTTATATTATTTTTATTTTAAAAATATCTTAGAGTATTATATTGTTTTTTATTTCGTTGATTATTTTAAGGTGTAGCCTTAGCCACAACGGCTATACCCTAGATCCGCGCCTGCACTGTATAACAACATCTGTCCAACAACATCCGAAATTTCATTGATGAACAATAATATCCGTGCAATTACATCTGTAGATTTTGCGGATGTAACTACATCCGAAAAATTTTTTTTTTTTTAAATTGTATTATTTTAACCAGATGTAACATTTTAATAATACATTATTTTAACGCATCTGATTTTTTTCGGATGTTGCTACATCCGCCAAAAAAAAAATTATTTTATAATAATTTTTTTTTTTTAATTATTTGATAGACCGCCTGGCCAAACCTAGCCCTCAATCGATGTAGCAGCACTCCGTTGGGAGTCAGGCTATTTTTCAGTCAATGTAGCAGCCCTCCGTTTTGAGTCAGGCTATTTGTCAGTCGATGTAGCAGCACTTATATAATATAATAGTTATATATGTAACTTATAAATATAACTACATCCGGAGTTTTTTTTTTTTTAATAATTCATTATTTTAACCAGATGTAGTTACACATTGATTTTTTTCGGATGTAACTACGTCCGGAAATTTATTTTATTTAATAATGCATTATTTTAGGCGGATGTAGTTACACATCGAGAAAAACTCCCGGATGTAGTTACATTTTCCTAAAGATGTTATTAGACATCAATGAAATTTCGGATGTTGTTGGACAGATGTTAATTCAGTAAAGAAAAAACCCAGATAATCTTGGACAAAAAAAAATTGCGGATGTTGTTTCACTACTTCACGAATGTTGTTGGACAGATGTAGTAATCTTTTCCCGTTGTGAATGAGAGAGACTGTCTGCGTTGGATATTATTCTTATGGCATGATTTTGTTTGTTGAGTAGTTTGTTTATTTATTTATTTTTTTATTGGTACTGCACCAAGCAATGTTAGTACAATTGAGATAACAATGAATAAAAAAGAAGTAGTTATATTTTAAGCAAATTGATTTAGGTAAGGATTTATCTTATAAAGTATGCCAATATTATTAGAAATTTTATTTTCGATTAGTTTTATGTAATTTATTTTTTCTTATATGTGACATTTTCGTCAAGAAGAACACTTAGAAACTTTATTGAGTGTTTTCTTTTTATAAATTGATTGCCAATGCTAACATTTGGGAGCTTTAGAGGAATTTCGTCTCTTTGATAAAGGCAATGAAATATACCTAGTTTGGGCTAAGTTTAATGACAACTTATTTGTATTAAACCATTCTTAGATAGTTTACTTTTTATTTTTTTATTTTTTTGTAGAATTTTTTTTCAAAAGCATAATTAATAAGTGTAATTAATAAATACTCTTCTACATGATTTTGTAAAGTTTTTAAAAAAAAAAAAAAAAAAAAAGCAACAGTTATCAGCGCTAAAAGTATTTTTTTTTTTAATTTTATTTAGATGCCCTAAGAAGTCATCATAGAGCACCACGGATGAGCATATATTTGGAAGTTCACGCCTCCTTCCTGACCGATGTCGCAAAGAATCCGTAGTTCAAAGCGCTTAGAGGTGGGGTTGGAACTACGGATTCTTTGTTTCTCAAACACGCAATAACGATGTAACATAACATAACATTTAAAAACTTATTTGAATAGCATTAAAGAAATGCTTTTTTATTTCCATTAGATCATTTTCCTTATGTAAGTCTGCGCATTTGTATTTAAAGAATATGCTACAATTAGAGAAGATAATGAACCGCAGTGTTTGTGCTGAATTTACAAAAGAGTTTTTGACAATTCGACGTTCTGATAAACTCAATGCGGTACAAATTTTGTGGATAATTTTATGATCTAAAACTTTTGTTTGACCTATTTTAATGATAAAACTTATCATTTACCAGAAAAATATTAAAATATATATATATATATTTTTTTATCTTTGACCTTTAATAACTTTTTTTAAAGATGTGAGATCGATAGGGAATTTCAATATTTTATTTGTAATAATAACAAACTTTTAGTTCTATGCGTATTATTTTAAATTAAATTGTCTATTTTGACCGGGCTATTTCTTTTAAAAGAATATAAATAAACAAAGGAGTAATAACTCCATTTGCTGACATTGAAAGTCATACTATATCTGATATGACTCTCGATCCGTGTCTTCATTTTAAGTAGTTGTACAGGCTCTATCAGTAAGATATGACTCTCGATCCGTGTCTTCATTTTAAGTAGTTGTACAGGCTCTATCAGTAAGATATGACTCTCGATCCGTGTCTTCATTTTAAGTAGTTGTACAGGCTCTATCAGTAAGATATGACTCTCGATCCGTGTCTTCATTTTAAGTAGTTGTACAGGCTCTATCAGTAAGATATGACTCTCGATCCGTGTCTTCATTTTAATTAGTTGTACAGGCTCTATCAGTAAGATATGACTCTCGATCCGTGTCTTCATTTTAATTAGTTGTACAGGCTCTATCAGTAAGATATGACTCTCGATCCGTGTCTTCATTTTAATTAGTTGTACAGGCTCTATCAGTAAGAAACAGATTTAGATTTTCTTTTGCTCAAAGTTATACCTTATGGAAGGTGAACAGACAGGTAAAAATTTAGACCAGACCATGCGGAGAACTTACTCTGCAAAAATCTTGACCTCCACCAGTATTTTACTGCGCAAACTAAGTCTTTGTTTTCGATATGGTTAAAAAGTACAAATAAGGATCTTTGAAAGAACCGCTAAAAACATCAATGAAATCAATTAACCTTTTGATGAGGAATGACTGAATAATAGACACAACCATGATAACGACGATAGTAAATACGTTGACAATAAAAATCAAGATGATGAAAATAAATATGTAATCGCAATACAAGAATAGGAAATTTTACAATATGAAGACATAAGTGTATGAAGGCGTTATGTCGCAAAAATACAATTTTTCTCTTTTTAACGCGATAGAGGTTTTGAGTAATTCTCTTTAACATGATCTGGATAACATCGCACAAAAATGAAGGAGTTATGTTACACATCAATTCACCTACAACAATACATAACATGGACATAGTTTACAACTTACATCTATATTGGAATAAAATAAAACATAGTCTTAAAGTCTTAAAGCATAGTCTGTTATTAAGAGTAGGCTTGATGAGTTGCAGCAAAAATTTAAATATACTCATGCGCATGACTGATAGTAATAAAAAGCTTTTTTTTTTTTAATTTGGCGCGTATTGCATTTGAAGTTTATTATTAACAAATATGGTTAATAATTTTATAATTAATTTAAAAAATTTAGGCGAAATCTTCTTGTCCTTTATTTTGTGACTGATCTGCGTATTTTATTTAAGTGACTGATCATGCGTAACTTAAAACTATTAGAGCTTCAATAACTATTAAAAAATAAAAAATATGAAAGCTTTAACTATACAAAGACCATTTTTTCATTCATTCATTTGTTAAGCCTTAAAAAAAAACTATTAACTGAAATTACGTTTTTGTTTAAAATGTCAAAAATGTTTACAATTTCTAGATATATTATTAAAATTATATATATTTTAATTGTTCTTCTTTAGGTAAAAATGCTTTAATTATTATTTTAAAGTTGGCTAGGGGTAACAAAATATTGCTCCAGTTACCTTAAAAACTATGGAGAATCACCAAGAAAATAAACTACTTGTTACAAAATCTATCAGATCTTGCGAAAGACTTGAAGAAAAGAAAGAAAGCTTTAAAGGTTTAAACTCCTTTTAAATTAAATTATTACCTATTTAAAAGAACAATTAAAAAGTACAAAATTCTGCTCAGACTAATACTTAGCCCTTATAAGATTACAACATCATAAAATCTGAAAATTAGGAATGAAACCAAGACCTGAAAGTCTTAGTTTTAACCCTCAGTTTTAAAGTCAAATCAATTGGCTATTATCTTTGTACTTTATTTACATTTATGAGGGTATAAATCTCTAAAAGGTTGTACTTTATATATGATTACAAGGGTATAAACCTTTAAAAATTATGAGTAATGACTGAATTCACTAGTTGTTGCATACATCTACTTGCATAGCTGCTTTTGTTGAAATAAACCCAAAAAAAGATTTCAATTACTTATCATTATTTTTTTTGTTAAGTGTAACTGGGATAAAGATGGTTAGGGTTATGATACTTTTACGCCAAAATATAGCAGTTATCATTTTTTTTGTAAATCAAAGTATTTTTGCTTACAATGCTTAGTAATTTCAACAGTTCTTAATGATAATCTTGATATATTTGAAAATAAGTTCAAAAATAAAAAAATTATGCTCTGCTATTTGCAATACTATAAAATTTGGTGTTTTTTACTATTTTTTATGCTTTAGTTTCAGAATAATCAGTATTAGGCCGCCAACTTATATGTTTTGTTACGAATGTTATAAAAACAGAAATTCAAGTGATATATGTTTTTAAAAGACATGCATATCAAATTTGTTGGACACTAACAATATGCTCCTAAATAAATAATGTAATACTGTATAAGGTTGACAATAGTATAAATTTATTTCATGGCTCGTGTCCACAGTCCCCTAAAAAATATATTTTATAAATGTAAAATTATAAAAAATATTATTTTTCAACTTGTTTCATTCTAAGCAACCTTCTTAAGCTTTTTTTATTTCTATTGAGTTGTTTCTGTTTAAAAGTATCAAACTTTTATGAAAAAGACTTTTTAAACGGTTTCCACATTCCTTTTATAACTTTTTAAAAAGCAAAAATAACTTTAATTGACAACTAAAACTGAAAAATGTATATTTTTTTAACTGAGTTTTTCTAATACTTTTTAAAATAGTGGTTTGGTTCTGATTTGGGTCCAAGCATTTGTTTACCAGTACTGGTTCCAGGAAAAAGTTTACACGATTTAAAATTGTATGGCTTAATGTTTTCAAAATTTTAATAATTAGTTAATTCATCGGTATCGGTATCAGCCTTTTCCCATCCATCGGCATTGGCCACAGATGTACTATTGGCACATCACTAATATATATTGTATACTTTCTTCAGAATAATATTACATATATTATTTGTATGTTAAAAATATATATTGAAGTCAAAAATCATTTTTCTAAGGTTTCAACAGCTGAAACTATATAAAATTTAATGTACTGTGATTTTAGTGTCTTTTAAATAAGGAAAAAAAAAAAGGAAAAATATATATAAGTAAAAATATATTTAAGTAATTTCAATAATTGTAATAAAAACATCTACCTTGGTGTTAGTTTCATTAGAAAGGTTATAAAAAAGTTAATTTAAGGAATGTTTAAAGAATGCTTAAATAATGGCCTCCAGTCTTTCCATTTGGTTGCAGGATTACAAGTCTGTTGTAAAGATAGGCATGGGCTAACAGGGTGTTAACCAGGAATTAATTTGATACAGCGTTTCGACAGTATTTGGTAATTTGTCAAAATTTTTCCAGCCATCCGCCCCTCTCCCCTGAGATTAAAATGTGTTCTAGGAATGCATGGGGTCCTTTTCTTATATTCTTTCTACTTCTACACAACTTCAGTGCTGTATACATTGAATGGACACCAAAAATCAAACAAAATACTGTCTGTAACATTTATTGAAAATGAATATGAAATCAACGCAAAATTAAAAGTGGTTTCGCAACGACACAGCAAATTAATCTCCGATTTCCAAAGATATATAAGGAATTATATATTTTTATAATATAAAATAATCAGTGTTTAATAATCATTAATAATCAATAAACACTGATTATTTTATTTGATTTTTGGTGTCCAGTCAATTTATACAGTGATTGTATATGTCAATGTATACAGCAGTAAGATTACAAATAAATCAAATATATTATTCCTAACAATAATTAATTATAATTAATTATTGTTAGGAATAATATATTTGATTTATTTGTAATCTTAATATACCGTTGCAGCTTTCATTTTAAGAGTATTCTTTTGAATATATATTTCTTTTTTACTGGTGGGCATTAAAGGCCGAGTAATATAGCAATTTATGTTCAATGAAAATCTCCGCGGAAGAGAGCCAATGATCTTCTACTTCTAATTAAATTCTGCTTGACATCCTTTATGGTCAAACCCTTACACCATCATGTAATAAATTGCATCATCAAAAGAAATGTTTTAAAAATAAAAAAATAAAAAAAGTTTTGAAAATAGTAAACACGAGCTCGAAAATTTCATATTTCACATTTATTGAGAGTTCAATTTTATAATTAATAATAATTTTATATATAAATAAATCACATAGCGAAATAAATTTACAAATACAAAGTCTGAAGAAAAACAACAACAAATATTGTTTAATTACAAAAGAATATTGATCGCAAGCGATTGCATGTTATCGTGGCAATGAAGAATACCAATAATTATTTTTACATTCATAGTCATAAAATGTTATTTTCATTCAAAAATTTAAATTGTTTTTACATTTTAAATTCAAGCAAGCAGTGAATCTAGTTTTCTTGTTTTTTAAATTTTTAGTACCAATTTGTTGCAATAAAAAAACCATTCTTGTTATTAAACGTATTTAATTTACGCTTTAAAAAAGCAAGCAGTAAAGTATATATATAAATTTCGAAAAGTATCTGACGTAGGCGGCTTCTCAATATTTTTGTTGAGTAAGCACATGTACTACTTGAAGTAGAGTTTGCAGTAAGACAATAATGACTATTTTTGCAGTTAGGCAATTGACTTTTCAGCCAAAAAAGGCGAAATTTTCAAAGAAATAGTATTTATGCGTGTTAAACCATACAAGTTTGTTATTTTTTAAAATTGTACTCTATTTCTTGCTAACTTTTTTTATATAGTAATTGCTTTAAATCGCTATTCTCAAGAAGTTTTTTCCAAGAGACATTTTTGCAGTAATGCAATTGCGTAGTTATACCAAGGTGATTTTATTTCAAGTTTTACACAATAATTAAATTAAAACTTTTTATGCTATTTTTCTATTAGTTTTTAATAATAATTAATTTTCAATAATTTTTAGAATTATTTTTTAACTTTAAATAGGCGAACTATATTTGGAGAACGGGACTTTTTCAACTTTAAATTAGGAATTTTACTTTTATGAGTGTTTGGGAATACTGCGTTTGACGGGGCCCCATAGGGCTAGTTTACACCCTGGCTAATTTCTTTTATCTCTTTGCCAAAAGCTGTACAGAAATTTGTATTACTGCTCCTTCTTTTCTCCTCTCTTTTCTATGTCCCTATGCCCCCACTGTTTTATACAGGAATTATCTTTTTCCAGATATTTCCAGAATTCCAGAAAATTTTTTTTACTTTTAGTTTTTCCGGATATATAATACATTTTCCATAGATACCAGTTAAGGTGTATATTTTTGTAAAATATTTGTTTTATAAGTTTTTTTACTTGTCATTCATAAAAAAATTATGAAAAGTTGAAAAAAAAAATTAAAAGCAACTCAGCTAAAAGCAAAATTAAAAGGAAAATAAGGGAAAACAAATTTCGGATTTTTTCTGGATATTTTATATAAACAATTTTCGGATTTTCAAAACATGACCTGGATGATCTATGTTTATAACAATCAATGTTTTAAAATCTTAATAAATGCTCAAAATTTTTAATCCCCTCAGATTAATTTGTGTTTTGTTAACCCTGTTTATCTTCTTCCCCCCTCTATTCTATTCTAGTGCTTCATACCATGGTTAGGCTACACTTTTATTTTCAAAAAGTTCTCTATAATGTTTTAGTAACATTTATTGAAGATATTTATCTTCAATAAATGTTACTAAAACATTATAGAGAACTTTTTACAAAAATTTAACACCAATTCAACACGAAACTAAATGAAGTTTCACAGTGTAATGGGAATTTAAACCCCTTTTTTTACTGATATATTAACAATAATTATTATAGCTATTCTTAACATATTATTGCTGTAATTATTAATTGGATTTATTACTTATACACTGGCGGGCACTGAATAAGAAAGAATAGTGTTTTGCAATTTTTTGACTTCTACTATCAAGAACAAATTTAATTTATAAACAGTCATATAAGAAAGCAGCTAAATTAATAATTTATCTCTCACACACAAATTTCTTTTGCTGTGTCTTTATCTGTTTACAAACATGGCAAAATACAATCATTAATGTTCTTATAATAATCTTTTTAAAATTAAATACTTGTGCAAATAAAAAAGTTTAAATATTTAATAGTTTATATATAAGATGGTTTTTTTAAACTTGTTAAAGAAATTAGCTATTAAATATTAGTTTAAAAAGATAACAGTTTAATTAAAGATTAAAATTTGTATAAGATAAATCAGTATCTAATTAAAAATGTTTTTAAGGTTAATTAGAAACCCTAACATCATAGCTTAGTTATGTTTAGTTATAATTAAAAAATGATGTCCGTGTTTCTCTTTTTTTCACTTTCTTCTCTTTTATTTTTTTTAATTTTTTTTGGCTTTCAAGAACCTTGTCTTGAATCCTTGCTCGGAACTTTGAGTTGTTATCATCAACTTTCAAGTGCGCTTTAAAACAATTGGTTGCGTAGTTGATTTTTTACTAGTTTTATTTTTGAAAACAGTTTTTCTACACAAGCAATGGTTATAAGGAAAATTGATAATAAATTCAATAAAAGCATACTGTTAGTATGTGAATTCTGATTTAGACTAGTTTTTTTTATTCGGTCCATAATTTTTGAGCACAGTATGACTTTTAGGGATTGGTGCAGTAGAGTGTACATACATTGACTGACTTATATAGGTCGAATATTCTGACTGCCTTAAATAACTAAAACATGCAGCAAGTGAGCATACGTTGACTCAGATTTTTGGTTTAGGCAGGCAATCTTTTTATTAAAAAAAAGTTTTGTTCTGGTCTTTTTATTATTATTATTTTTTTATGTCATCAGAATATGAAAAAAAAATTTTGGATAACTTTGCAAGGGTCTTGTGTGTCTGTGTATATATAAATGTAGATATATGTATATATATATATATATATGTATGTATATATATATATATATATATATATATATATATATATATATATATATATATATATATATATATATATATATATATATATATATATATATATATATATATATGTATATATATATATATATATTTATATATATATATATATATGTATATATATATATATATATATATATATATATATATATATATATATATATATATATATATATATATATATATGTATATATATATATATGAATGATTACAGCATTAAATGCACACTGATGATAGTGTACTGAAATAGATTCCTGCAGGGGTTTCAATACATACATCAATTGTTTCTAGGTAGAACATGCAAGAGAGTGCTGCTACATAGTCTGAACAACAGACTAGTGAACAACCAGGGTTGATATTTTATATAAACATCATTATGATCAACATGATCATCATAATCATCATTACCTTCATCATCATCATCATCATCATCATCATCATCATCATCATCATCATCATTATTATTGTTATCATTTCTTTTGGCAAATACTACACATAGTGTAGTGATGATGATGATGATGATGATGATGATGATGATAATGATGATGATGATGATGATGATGATGATGATGATGATGATGATGATGATGATGATGATGGTAATTATGATTATGATGATCATGTTGATCATAATGATGTTTATTGCTAATGTAAAATGGTCCTGCCTGATGTTAAGCTCTGTTATTCTCAGTTTACTAAATCTTGTATCTTATATCAGATGTTAGGTTCTAGAGACTTTTAGTTAGTCTTCAAAAATGTCATTAACTAAAGTAAGTCTAACATTTAATCTTATTAATTATATAATTTTTAATGATATTTAATTTTTAGAAAATACTAAATAAGTGGTTCTGATTTTTCATAACTCTAGAAAACACTTTGACCTCTCTAACTATCATACAATTAGTCTTCACTCTGTTATTAGTTCTTTATATAACGTTTTTGAGATTATTAAATTATTTCTTACTAACTGCAGTATTTAAGTTATTCTTGAAGGCCTACACTCTTCTTTATTTCAAGTAATGTTAATGGTATCACCAAATATCTTGTGGTACGCTTAAATCTTTGCTCCTGTATTGTTTTTTTTATCTACAATATCAATCTTCATGAAAATTTCACATTTTAAAGTGGCTCTATTTGTTGACAACTCAACTTTATACTCGTCTTGACAAAAAATCTTTACTTTTTGATTGCTTAGAACAAGCAGCTGGTTTTTAATCTGATCTCTCTTCTGTTACAGCCCAAGGCTTGCTGTGGCTTATGGTTTTAAATTCTGGACTTTTTGTCTGCAATTTTTGTTTGACAACTAAACTCATTTATTTACTGCAAAAAAATGTTGCAATAATGTTGGCATTCCTATATTGATGAATAACAACCATCTTACTCTCAGACAAAGTCTAAAAGCATGTTGTAAATTTAATGCGGTCGTGGTGTAGTGGTAGAGCGTTCACATCATAAGCGAGAGGTATCAAGTTTGATCCCCACAATGTCCTTTTTAGCACCACACTAAACTTGTTTCTCTGCGCAGCGGCCTTGGTTGTCAAAGTTTGTGTTTCCGAGTACACATCAAAAAAACTATAAAACTATGAGTCATCTTCATGTTTTTCTTTTATATACAACCTACAACTTTTCAAGTCTTCAGTTAACCATTTTCTAGTGTTTTTACTTGTTCTCTATTTTAAAGTAACTTATAACTTAATAGTGGTTGCTTGCAATTCTGTTGAAAGTAAATTAATTTTTGAAAATATATAAATATATGCCAGTATTTAATAATTAGCAAATGTAAGCTTAAAATTATAATATAAAAAGTGTTTAAATTTTTTTCTAGCCCCGGCTATTAACCTCTGCTAAATGTTATAGTTTAGCCGGGGCCAGGGCCAGGTTTGAAAAAAGTGTCAAATCCAAAGGGTCCCTTCAGGGGTTAAAAGGGGCAATTTTTAAGGCGTTTTGTATCATTTTTAAAACAGTAGAAAATCTTCACATATAAATTTTTTAGTTTTTTTATGTGTGTAAAAACTTATTTAATTAAATTAAAATAGGCTCTAGGTTTAAAAAAATTTTAAACTTTATTTAATTTTAACAAATAAAAATATTTTTATATAAAGTTTTAAATTTTTTCAGTAAATAATATGTTTTCTTAAAATATATTTTATAAATTTTTTTTGTATTATATATCCAAAAAAAAAAAAAAAAAAATCACAAAAAAAAAAAGATATCAGATAGTCTAAAAAAGTATCAGATAGTATAAAATATTTTTAGTTAAAAAAATTAATCAAAAAACCTCCGGCAAAAAAATTTGAAACTGCTAGAAATTATTCAATATTATCTCTTTTTTCAAATAGCAAAGCAAAAATAAAGGTTTTAGTAGGTTTTCCTCACAAAAGTTCTTCTTTTATATCTAATTGTTGTCAGAAGAATTATTTTTTACCTTCCCTGCTCTCAAAGCCAACAATTTATATAACTATATGTGTGTGTGTGTGTGTGTGTGTGTGTGTGTGTGTGTGTGTGTGTATCCTAAGGGTCCCTTGTATGTATGTATGTATGTATGTATGTATGTATGTATGTATATATGTATGTATGTATGTGATATAAATGATTTGGTTTAATTTATATATGTTTTATATTTTTGTTTAAGTTTGTAAAGTAGTTGAATCTTTGATATTAGATTTGTTATTTTAGTTGATTCTCCAGTTAAAGGAGTAACTAATTTAAAAGTTAAAAGTATAATAAAGAACACACACCAATTAAAATCAAACAAAGACATAAATCAACCAAAATCGATCAAGAATACAACGAAGAATGTTCAAAAAAAATCAAGCAATGAGAAAGTCAGAAAAGTCTGCGATATGGAAAAGTAATATTTTTGTTTTAAAAAATTTAGAAATAAACTATTTTGTAAATCGCAGCTTTTATTATTATTTTAATCTGCAAAATACAATGATGTTACAACAATGTAAGGTAGGATATGCATTCTCTAAGCACCTGTCTGCTTGATTCCTCTTGCAGATTTAGTTTGATATGGTACAAAACATTGTTTTGTTATTTTTTTAATTTTGTTTTGTACTGTACTTTTACGAAATTAGAAAAATCTATTTTGTTTTGTACCATGTTTTATAAAACAAAATTCTGCTATTACTGTGATCAGATTTGTTTTAAAGCTTAGTACAATTATTCAGAGTTGTTCAATACATATATATGGGTAATTCCTCATCAAATCACCCAGTCCATTGAGCCCAGTCATCAAATCACATCAAACCAGTTCATTGAACCACATGTCTTCTTTTTTCTTTCATCTTTTGACATGAGATTCCTATTCATAAAAAAACGTTGTATGCAAAATTTAAGCTAAAAATGACAAGCAGTTGACAAGGTATGTCAATTTAAAAATTTACCTGGTTTCCTAAAATGATGCGGTTTTAATGGCATTTAAAAAAAACAAAGCCTTTTTCTTAATAAAATAAGAAATAACAATGGCAAAAATATGAAAATAAACGTTTTAATGCTTTTTGAATGCAGAATTCAATAAATTTACCTAAAATGCTAAAATATGATGGCAAAAATATGATGGCGTACATCAAAGATATTAAAACACCTAGTTTACATGACTCAACTATGGGAAAATATCTCAAAACCTTAATTTTTTAAATATCTCAAAACCTTAATTTTTTAAATATCTCAAAACCTTAATTTTTTAAATATTTTAAGTTATAATCTTACATGTCACCAAAAATCTAACTGGAAAGACAACAGTAACATATAGAACTATAATTTCAAAAATGTATTACTTTTTCAAAATGTTACTAAAAATATTTGCAAATACCATAAAAATAAATTAATTGTTATTTAAAATGTTACTGAAAAATATACAAGTTTATTTAAGGTATTGAAAATGTAAGCTTTTTTGACTGTATTTTTAATAGTTCACAATATTTTTCGCATTTTGTATTTCTTCCATTTCCGCTTTTTCCAGCAAACTTTCTACTGTAACTAGAGCAAGCTTATGGAACAGATAGTTTTTTTAATATGTTTATATTGGGAATAAAACAGTAGAATTTGGTTTTGGTTTGGTTGTTTCAAACTTACTTGCACTGTCAACCTTTTTACAGTTCTGCCGATCTCTTCTCATTATTACTTTCAGTGGGACATAAAAGCTTTTAAATCCAATCCACTTGCTAGTTGGCATAGATTGTAAAAGCTTTTACTTTTTTTTCTGCCCCTGCACAACAATCAGTGAATAAATTTAGTTTAGACAAATTGTTAGCTGATATAAGAAATATATTTTAGTACATGTTCATCGTCTTTATATTATATTATAATAAATGTAAAAAATATTTTTTCGTTTCAGTGATAGTTCTATATTTCACCTTGGACTACAAAAGCATAATTTTCTGCTAAGTTACAAATAATTATTATGGTTGATTGATCCATATTTTGTTTTAGTTGATTAAGGTACTGTAATTAAGAGTGGGCAATTGAAGAATCAGCTTGTAGCTTTTCAAAGTAAGATACTAATAGTTCAAGAACATCTGTTGGAACAACTGCTGTCAAACCCAATAGTGCTGTAGTTTTCTATTGCTAGTAGTTTATCTCAAAATCATCTTCATATTCTTTAAAAATCCCAAACAAGTAGGTGGTGAAGGGTCAGTGTAATGACTGGACAGTCTTTACACTGTGTAATCATGCATTCTTTGTTTTTTACTGAGAAGCAGTTTTTGAACGTAGATCCCTATACGCTTTGTCAATAAATAACAAGTAGAATGTAACACTTGCACCTGATGAAAAGCATCAATTTGGTCCAAATAAAGCAAATTTTAAGTAACTTATTTGTATTTCAGGATTTTTTTCTTTGTATAATTCACATAGTTTCTTTAAATTACACAAAAGAAGTTTTTTTTTGTTCTTTCTAATACTTAAATAATCTTTTTTTCCAGACTTAGTTCAACATAAATTACTTGAGTCATAAAATATTTTAATAGAATCTTCTACATCTTTGTGTAAGACTTTACCTTAATAAAATGGAGAAATAGCTAACAACCCTTTTTTTTCAACATAGATTTTCTCTATTTGAGAGTATAAATTTTGATAGTTTTAAGTGAGTTTTTAGAAGAGATATAATCAAATTTTAAAGATCTCCTAGTTGATCTCCTGTCTTTTTACTTTGGATGATGATATTACAAAATCCTTATCTTGTTCACCCTGATTTCGTTCCTCTTTTGAAAGATATGGTCTTCTGGCAATCTTTTGTTTACAAAGTTTGCAGAATTTCTTTCCAGGAGCATTAAAAGTACATTTATTGAATTCAGCATCAAAAAAACATTAAAGTTTATTTTCATATTTTTATTTCTCATATTATTAAAAAAAAAAATTTTTCAAAATGTTATAAAAACTGGTCTTTTTGGGAAACCAAAATATTGTTTGATATATTGTAAAATATTGTAAGATATTGTTTTTTAAATTTTGGCTCTGCATATTCTAATATTGCATATTAGTATTTAACCAACCGTATCAACTCAGGAATTCCCAAAGGACAGAAAAATCTTATTAAAGAAACAATATCTTATATAAATCAACAATATCGCTATTCCCTTGGCAAAAGTGACAATAAATTAAAAAAAGAATAAGTATCAAATAAACAAATATAAAATAAATTTAAAAAACTTTATTAAAGGGAAAAAACAAAAAAAAACATTCTAACTATATTAAATTGTAAAAGCTTAGCACTAATTGCAATATAGTTAAATGACAGATCCATATTCAAAAACTCATCATCCCAATGAAAAACCTATATTAGCCAATCTTGATAAATGATTTTAAGATGAGAGCACCCTCCTAAAGCTACTAGAAGACAGGATAACATTCCTCAAAAATGAGAATTAAAAACTCAAGAATCAATTTTAAAATAGTGCAGTAGAAAGACCTACCTCCGTCACCAAAGACTGGGTATCAGCAGTAAAGAAAAATATGAAAAAACCTGAAGAACAGTTAACAATATCTATTGAGCAACAACAATGCAAAAAAAAAAGAGAAAAAAATGTTAAACTTTATGGCTTTCCAAGCTCTAAAAAACAAGTAGTTTTGAAAATGCCTCAAATCAGTGCTGGAAGTGGAAAAAAAAAAGTAACAGGATGATGTTGGGTAAATTAAAAGTACTATCCCACCTAATCATTGTTATATAGAGAGATTTACAAAAAAGTGACAACTCATTTGAAGCAGCGAAGTTATCAAATTTAAAGTCAAACCAACAGCATAAGATTTTAAGTTGCTCATATACTAACACAACATTACCTGTAAATAAATGTGAAGAATTTGCATTAGAAATTGATAAATATAAACCTCACATCATTGAAATCACTGAAACATGGTTTAAAAAGACTCACTTTCCAATCTAAACTAATTATTATATAGATGAGACAGAAGTAATAGTAGAAGAGCCAGTTAGTTGCTATCTACATTTCTAACAGCTTAAACTTGGTTAAAACAATTGATATCAGGTTGTGCAATGGTAAAGTTGATCAATTATGAATAATTCTATTAATTGGAAAAAAGATCCAATTATAAATATCTATTATTTTTGATAGATATTTATAATTGGATGCATGACCCTGAACAGCAATGCTCGTATAGAGATTAATTCACACTGCAAAAAATAAGTATTACTATTGTTTACTTGTAATTGGAGACCATTTTTCCATACTATTTTAAAAAATAGTATGGAAAAATGGAAATGTATATTGACTTTTTAATAACAAGGGGTCACCAGATTCTGTATATTGTTGAGGATTGTTTTCAAACTCAACACGTTGGCGCCTTGACTTTTCAAATACAAAATGGCACTTTTGCAGGAACTCTTGATTTGATTCTCACTAAACAAAATAATCAGTTCTGCAACTTTAAATATAATCAGATGGTTGGAGACTGTGATAAAAGCCATCTAGTACTGACTAGGTTTTTCAATGCCATCTAGTACTGATCCATGTCAGTACTAGATGACACTGAAAAACCTAGTTTCCAGAGCAAAACAATATCTAAACCTTCTATATTAATACATCAACAAAATGAAAAATACAAATAACCATATCCAATCATTTCAAGATAAAGATGGTTTTATCTGTGATGATCTAATAATACTAAAATATCTTAAATACTCGATTTCAAACAGTATTTGTCAAAGAGGATACAAATCTAATTCCTGAATTTGATGATAAAATATTTCCATTTCTAAACCAATGGATGAAGGTAAAATTTTGAACAACGTAAAGGTAAATAAATCTATAGGTAGTACTAGGTCCATGCTAGAATTCTTAAAGAATACTTGATTTGACTAGTATACCTAATTTTACTAACCTTTGATTATAAACTTATGTCAGAAAACTGTAGACCTATTTCACTGACTCCAATTATATTTAGACTATTTGAATTAATAATATGCAAAGAAATTTTGGACCACTTAATAATGAATGATCTGAATAATATACAACAGCATAGAGTCTTACCTAAAAAATCATGTAAAACAAGTTTGTTAGAGACTATGGACCTTCTATCAACTTACATGGAAAACAATAACTCAGCTGATATCATTTACCTCAACTTTGTCTAAGCATTTGACATTTTTGCTCACCTAGTTTGTGTTCAGTTTCTCTATAAATTTTTCATGTCATACTTCTTTTTTTTAACTCACCCTATCATTACATTACATACTACTACCCTAAAGCTGACTGGGATTTTTTTCATGATTTTCTTGGTATTTTCTTGGGCTGATTTTTTTTTTCTCTGATAAAAAGACTTTTGCTTAAATTAAGAAATGATCAGTTGTGTTGTCGCATGAATTAAATCATTCTTAGAAAATAGGAAACAAAGAGTAGTAATTACCCAAATTGAATCTGATTTGAAAGATGTTTTTAGTGGTATTCCACAAGGTTCTGTATTAAGTTTGCTACTTTTCATCATTTATATCAATCATTTACCAAAAAACTCAACTAATACAATCATTTGCTGATGATACTAAAATTATCAATCAAACTTACAACAATAGACCTTGTTTTGAATCAAAAAATAATAATTTTAATTCACTTCTTAAGGCCACTAAAGTCAAGGAAGCTACTTTATTTAGGCTATTTTTAATTGTCATGTTATGCATATTGGGAAAAACAAATTAAAGCATGATTACTTCATACCTGATTTGAATAATGATAATATAATAACTTTAGAAAAATCTGCGAAAAAGATCTAGGTATTAATTTCTTCACCAATCTTAAGTGGAAACAACACGTAATTAGTTCTGCGTCTAAAGTAAATCAAGCATTTGGTATGATAAGATACACCTTTAGTTATATAGATAAACAGATGTTTAAAATTCTTTATATTACACTTGTTTGTCCACATCTTGAATACAGTATCGCTGTATCAGTGCAGTATTGCTGTATTAGTACAGTACAGTATCGCTGTATGATCTTTTTACCTTTAATATATATTTTATATATATATATTATTTATTTTATAATTATAAAAAAAAATTTTTTTCATATTAAATTTAAGCAGACCAGAAAAAGTTCAAACTACCATCACACAGCACTTTCAAGTTCGTCGAAGCGAAAGAAAAGTTAAAACAATGGCTAAAGTGAATTTTTTTTATATATAAATTCATGATTTTTTAAATAGAATATTTTTGTATACACGTTTGAAATATTATGTGTTATACTATTATTATTATTATTATTATTATTGCTATTATTATTATTGTTATTATTATTGCTGCTATTATTATTATTATTATTATTATTATTATTATTATTCCTTGCTTATTCCTCATCATTAATATATAAAACTCTTGATTATTAAATAGAATGATGCAAAACTTAATCTTGAGAAAATAATATTGTCTGGTATAGAAGATGGGCTTGAGGTAATATCTTGATTTGAAAAAAACAAAAACATCTACATAAATGACTTAATTAATTTTAATTTTGGTGCATTTGATTAGGTGCGTTTAATTGAGGACAAAGGGCGTGGAGTCTTTACAAAGCAATCTTTAAAGAAAGGTGATTTAGTCTGTGAGTATGCTGGTGATTTAATCAGTTTGAAAGAAGCTCTACAAAGAGAAAAAGATTATGAAAAAAATCCAGAGCTGGGTTGTTATATGTACTTCTTTGATTACAAAGATAAAAAATATTGGTATGAATATTAGTTTAAAATGCTGCTGTCTCAAATTCTTATGAAGTTTTTCTTAATAAAAAGTTTTTTTAATGCTTTGTTTTTTTCACATCAATTCTAGATGTAATTCAAAATGAATGATAAAACGTTTTGCGTTTTCTATGTGATTGAGTGAGAGAATAGTTGAATTTTTTTCTTCATAAGAAATGGTTTCATGTTGTTCATTTTCTACGTGAGAGGTTTTATTTTGTTCTATGTGAGAATAATTAAGAGTTTTATTTTCAAAAAAACATGTTTGTAACTTTTTTTTTTGGCGAAATAATTGAAGCTTTTGTCTCTCCAAGAATCGAATCAAGTTTTGTTCTTTAGTTCTTTTTGGTCTTTTTGCAAAAAAGATCTAATGAATCTTCAAAACAGAACATCTATACACAATCAAGTTTTTATGAATTAAATGTTTAAATTAATGATTAAAATAATAATTTAAATAATTAAATAATTAATAAAACACTTGATCTCTAGAGATTTTAAAATTTATAACTATTAAAACTAATTAAAATTCTAAAATGGAAATTATAATATAGAAGATAAAAATATTGAATGCAGTGCATTACTTCTAATAATTAATGTTAATGTATAACTTGAAATAATGTAAATTAGAAAATGAAAGTTAATTAATTTTTTTTGTAGATTTTTCCACTTTAGAAAGTAATAAAATACTTACGGTAATAAAAAAAGTAGAAGTAACATAAAATAGAAAAGTTTAATAAAAAATTGGAAATAGTCATAAAGTTATTCATTTCAAAGAAAAAATCAAAAAGTTTGTTGTAAAACTGTGTGCTTTTTATGTTTACAAAAATGTAAAAGAGAATTTAAATTATTTTTGATAAAGCAATTTTGTTTTGATAATAAAAAGCTCCAAGACTCAGCACTAGGCTCCAAGACTCCAGCATCATTCTTCAAAAGAAGCTGCTTGAAAAATTAAATCTAAAATGAATAAATGCTTTTTGTCTGAATTGTTTAATTTTGGTTCAACTCATAACGAGCCATCTCAAAATATTCTGAACCGTGAATGTTTGATTTGCTAGATTAAGAAACAAAAGTTTAGTAAAAAGCATACATTTAAAGACAAACAAAAGGAAACAAATGAATACATGCTCATTATAAAGCTCAAGAACTTCATCACACAACAAATTAAAAAAAGATGCACTAAGTGTCTATAAATTTAGGTAGAGGTTGAAGAACACAGCTGCAATAAAGCATAAACTTATCACATTATCACTAACTTATCATTAAAAAAAAAATTGTTTGCAATCAGTAGCAAACAATTTTCAGTAAACCCAGTTGACAGATTTTTGTTGAAAAGCTCCAGCGAGTCCAGGTAACAGATTTTTATTATAAAGTTTTTAGGTTAATTTTTATTTTTTTTTATTTTGTTATATATATATTAAATTATAAATGTTACAAGTTTTTAAATAATACAGTTTATAAACTCTTGTTTGCTTAGGACAGACAATAGCATGATTTTTTTTTTTGCAAATACTCTTAAAGCTAAATTATAGTCGATGTTCAATACAGTATTAGCTTTTCTAACACCAAAATAAGGAAATTAGGATCTTATACTTTTGACAGATATTTTTAAAATTATTAAGATATTGCTAGATTTAATAAGCACAAAAAATTTTACGTTCAAATTTTCATAGGATCTTAAAATTGCTTACCTTATGTGTAGAATTCAATCACATTCAAGCAAACACTGTTACTATTGATGTGACATTGTGTCGTTAGTGTGGCAGAAAATTCTTTTTAACAAAGGAGTCTCATGAATCATTTGGAAGTCTGAAGAGAAATTATAACAAGTTCATTGCCACTGAATCAAATAAAAGCAAATACTAAAGCACATGCTGTTTTCTACCATATTCTAGAAACTATTGAACGCCATGGTCACTTTCACTTGGATTATTCTGTTAACAGGCAAAAAAGCAATGCATTTAAAAATTTCTCCAAAGATTGAAAATATACAAAAGAATGGAAATCCTTTCCCGATTATGAATCCAAGCTTTTACAGTGAATTTTTGACTTTAACACCAAACATTAGAAAAGTCTTCAAAGATTGAAGACTTTTCTTATTTCTAGTTTAAAATAATGATGTAAAAAATTTATTTTAAAGGCAAAATCTTACTTAACCATAATTAATGGTGTTTTTAATCGAAATCTTGATGATAAAATATTTTACTCAGACAATATCAATAGTTTTGATATTTTTCTTACTTAAATATTTTTTCCCCCTAGGGTTATCTTGGAAATCGCATTAACCCTTAAATTTACAAACCATGATATGACATTTAATGAACAAAAACCTTTGATATAAAGTCAAACTTTTGTAATAAAAATTTTTATTGAAAATTTTTTTTTAAGAAATAAAACTTCTATCTAAATCATACAATTTTTTTTTAAACTTTTATATGAATAATGCGATTTCTTTATGTTGATTTCTCTAAAACATTTTGTTGAACATTCTTGTATAATAATGCACGAACACAATTAAAAGTAAGTAATAAATTTTAATTGTGAAACAAGTTGTTACGCCGTAATTTATCATTTAACTCAAAGTAATATTTAGATATTAAACTTTTATTATAACAATCTTTCAAAAAAGTACAATAGGATGAAGTTGTTTTATTTTAAAAGACTTGTCTTTATTAATGACAAGACGCCTCGTGGAAGACTTTTTATAAATTATTATAGGCAATGTTTTAATATCGAGGTCTGTCGTAATGTGAAATGTGGCTGTGATCTTTCATAGAAAAATATCTCAAGTAAAGTCTTACGTAATATATTCAATACAATGAATGGTCACACTTTAATTCATTGTTAAAATGTGGACTACAAAGAATAGAATTAAAATGCGTGGACTACAAAGCTCACACTTTTTAGTTCTATTGTTTAATATAGTATCCTATTTATTTATATATTTATTTTTACGAAAATAGTTGTTAATTTTTTTTTTTTGCATATCTTTATTTCTATATTAATTTGTTAAAAACCTATGCAAATATTGAGCGTAATTGTGAAGATTTGTGTCATTCATTTATAAGCTTTTATGGAATGAAGCTTATGTTGTAAATAAATAATTGCACTTATTTTTTGCTTATTTTTAAAAATATTGTTTTTTAGCGTCGATGCTACTAAAGAAACAGGACGTCTTGGTCGCCTTTTAAATCACAGCAAAACCAACAGTAATGTGTGTACAAAACTCTTTCCTATCGGAAACACTCCACATTTAATACTCGTTGCGCAAAAAGATATAGCTTGCGATCAAGAGTTATTATACGATTACGGAGATAGAAGTAAAAGGTCAATTGAATCGCATCCTTGGCTAAAATTATGATATCTCATTCATTTTAGTTAATTATTTTAATTAAGCTGGTACCTGTTTGGAACTTAAAAAAAAAAAGAGAGAGATGAGTCAAATGCGTGACAATTTTATTTATTTAATGTAAATTATAGAATAAAGCAATTAATAATAGATTTTCAATTTTAAAATTGTGTATATTTTGCGTTATATGCGTTAAATGACTTCGGGATGGGATATGGCGCTACGTATCTAAAAATTATATATATATATATATATATATATATATATATATATATATATATATATATATATATATATATATATATATATATATATATATATATATATATATATATATATATATATATATATATATATAGTTTTATGGTTGTCAAAGCATAATTACCTAAAACAGACTTTCTTTATTTTTCTTAATATTAAAATTATTAGATTAATTAGTTTATAAATTGTATATATATATAATATAATTTATAAAATTAATAATCTAATAGAGAAATCAGTCAGTGGGGAGTTCATTTTCTGGTTGCTTTGTCAACCAGAAAATGAAGTCTCCACTGACTGATTTCTCTAAATATATATATATATATATATATATATATATATATATATATATATATATATATATATATATATATATATATATATATATATATATATATATATATATATATATATATATATATATATATATATATATATTTAAAAACAAGATGAGTCAAGTGACTCAAATAGTGTTTAAATAGTATTTTAGAAAAAAAAACAATTAAATCAATCGAGTTATGTCGGTTTATTATTAGAGTTATAGTTAAATAATAATATAATATAAATAACTCGATATTATTTAAGTTATACTTCAATAATAATGCGATATAACTCGCGTTGTATCGGCATATTATAGATACGACAAAAATTGTCTACCTTATGAGTTAAATTATCCTTTTTTATTTTTTTAGAAAAGGAATTTTTCAATCAAATGCTATTTAAAGAGATCCCGAAATATGAAACCACATCTTGTTCTACGCAAATAAAATTTACGTCTTTTCAATTAAAAGTTTGCGAATGCGATGCAATAGCTTTACATTATTTAAATGTAACATTAAAAACTTGTGGAAATTTTCTTTTCACTTACGCAAAGATTACTTTAGTTATATACTTGAGAAATTCAGGGGGTGAAGCAATGTATCATTATTTAGATAATTATTTAAGTCAACGAAAAAAAAGGACAAACCATTTACTTCAACTTTTTTATTCTTAAAAATTACAAAATGTCAAAAAACATTAACAGTTAAAAACAGTATAAACTTGCTATTACAATTTTAAACCGATAACAAATTATAATTTTTGAGCTCTACCAAAAAGCAATTTTGAATCTCAATTATTCAGAAGTATTGACCCGCAATGCCTCGTTTGAAGATTTCATCCTATTTCAAGACTCAAAGTGTGAAATGAGTTAGGTTTGTCATTGACTGAGTCTAATAATTTAAATATATACACAAATTTATTTATAAGTATTATTATAACAAATACACGTCTGTATAATTTATAACCGAACCAAAAGACGAATTAACTTTTAAAAAAAGAAAAAAAAAGCGAAAATTAACTAATAAAAAAAGTGAACAAAAACTTAAAAAAGGGATATCTGAAAACCGTAGCTACCCAATATCCACACTATATTTTTACTTGTTTTAATAAAATGTAATAAATATATTCTATATAGTTGAACGACATGTTAATAAATACGAAAGCTGCAAGCAATTGATGCCAAAAATCGCTTTAAGAATAATTATAATTTGGAGCGATTATTTTTAGAGCGTTTCACTGATACTTTTAAACGAGGAGATTCTCTCACAAAATACATCGTAGTATCACCACGGATATCGAAGTAAGATCTTTAAAAGCTAACCGCTAATATATCTGTTGGCGTAAGTGAATATTGCTGTTCATTAATGAGTTTACTGGTATCATTATTGTTATCATATTCATTCAATTTAGTGGTTTCCTGTAACAGACTCGTGCGTAAAACATCTTCCATTCTTTGTTGACATTCCACCAAACAATCCTAAATATTAACACACTTTTATGCAATACTTTTACATTTTTAAAACGCAACGTTTACACCATCTAATAAACAGTAATCGTTATAAACAATTTTTTAACGGTTTTTTTTCATACCTCGTCTACTCCAGTAATTTCTGTTAACCTATGGATGACTTCAGATTTGGTTGGAAATGACGAACCAAGTTGATAAGACAAACCTTGACATGCAGCACATATCGCAGCAGCTGCAATCATAGAAGGCGAATTGAAAATGCTGAATCGGAAATCTATAAACGTAAATTAAAAACATAAGACAAACATAATTTAATTTGTATTTTTTAGAATTTAAAGCACGTTAAATATGTTAAATGGATTATTATAAAATGCTGTTTAATTGCGGTAAAAAATTCAAGTATTTTTTTATAATTCGAACGCAGCGCAATATCAGCGCCAGCAAGACCGCAAGTTGCAACAATATCAAATAATTACTATCGCCTATTTCCGTTTTACTTCTAAATTAGGAAAAATCAAGCTTTGATTCGCAGACATCTTAATACTAACTTGAATTTTGTATAATTTTTCTCTAATTAAAATACGGTCACTTATCGATTATAAATGACGTCTTTACGTTCTGCTTGATAACGCTTTTAAAACAAAACAAAAAAAATGTAATCTTATTACAGAGAAACGTCTCTATGTTAACTTAAACTCTTCAGATTAGTATAATAGCAATACTTTTAAAAAATTTCCAGAAAATGTTTCTACCTATGCAACCAAGTGAAATGTAGCTGTTAGCGTGCTTCCGAATAGTTTCTGTTTCAGTGCATGGTAAAAGTTCCATCCGTGAGAACAAGTATTCAATAAAATCATTGGGAACAACAGCAGCGATATCCCAACGCAAACTGTTTAATACTATGATTTCCCAATCCTGAAATCGAAAACATAAATATCAATTCTGTTCCAGTGACATTTTTAGTGACTTGTTTATCAAACCGATTATAAGCAAAAAGTTCCGCAACAATTAGTTCTGAACAATATCTTTATTTATAGTTTATCGCAATATTATTTTGAAAGATTGTTTTCTTTAGTTTTAAATATTAATTCAGAAAATCGAACAAAGAAAGGCGCCTTTATAACGATTGTTTTCAATTACAAATAAACACAATTGCAAAACAATCCAAGTCAATAAACATCTCTAAACTGAAAATAATAAGAATTAGCCCTTTAAAATAATCTTCACGTATTTGCGAGCAAATACATAAACAAAAACACTTAGGCCACTGCGGAAAGCAAATACAAATATTTTTAAAGATTGGCGCATATGTTAAAATTTGCCTTAAAAATATTCGGTGTTTAAAATACCTTAGAATTAAAAGGGCGTATGACTTATGCATCGATTCAATTTTTTTTTTGGTTACTATAATTTTTATAGAACAAACGCAAACATTCACGAATCGGATATTTTTATCACAAAAAATTTTGCTTTTATTTTTTTCTTCTTTGCAACTTACCAAAAGTTCTTCTAAAGTGACGGAATTGTCTGTATATATAACTAATTTTTCTGCAGTAAGAGGTATTGTTTCTTTTAATTTAGATGCAAGAAACATGCACGTAGTCCCTAACAATTGCAATTGAGTTTTCTGAATACTAACAAGGCTCAAATATCTGTCTAACAAATTAACGGAAAGAGGAAATACATCGTCTTCACATCGTTGTTCTTCGCAAACCTATATTAAAAAAAAAACAAGCTAAAATCAAACTAATATTTGCTTTTACGAAACGTCATTTATTATTAGATAAAATAAAATCTAACTTATATTCAGTAATTAACGAGAAAAAAAGGAAGTTATTTACTGTTATTTTAATTATTTTTGTAATTATTGTCACTATTATTATTATAATTATTATTTTTATTATTGTAATTATTAATATTATTAAATAACATTTTATAAACTAAAAATGTTATTTAGTATCTTATAAACTATGGTTAAGGAAGTTATTATTACCACGGCAAATACTTAAAAAAAAGTAACGTTTTAAAATTTAGTATAGAAATTTGTGTATTATTTGCTTTTGATTCATGTTTAATAAGTAAGAGCGAGATCGAAGTTTATCTATTAATTAAAGCGCAATTATTTCTTCTCCGACTAAAAAATTTGAATAATCTTGGGAAATGCAATTAAAAATTTTTTATAAATGAAATTAATTAAACTAAAAAGACATTAACGTTTTATAAAGTAAAATCTTTAAATTGGGTTTTTAACAACTTTTAACAGTAAAAACTTAACGGGGGAAAAATAGCACTTTTAAAATAAATTTAATTAACACGTTTTACCTCAAACATCCAAGAAACGACAAGTTTTCGCATGTATGGCTGGATGTCTTTTTGAACAATTTTAAAATAATCGCATCTTGGAGTATAATGATCCTCAACTTTTAAAAGTCTTTCTAATACACGATTGTCGTCTATTAAGTTTTTATCGAGCGTACTTTTTTGAACATTAGCAATTGAATTCGATTCATTGCAAAGCAAATCCATGTTGTGAGTTTGTACTGCAGCTGTTTATGTTTATATATGCTAAATAAAAAGTTGTCTATATAAAATAATTCTCAATCGATTTTAAAGTAGTTGTCTTTTTTTGAGTGCTTCTTGTGTAACAGCAGTAAGCAAAATGAAAGTGCGAGCAGTGAAGCTTCGAAAAAAACGTGGTATATAATATTTCTTTTAAAAGGAACAACTGTTGATTTATATACCAAAAACGTCACAAAAATTTATCAGGGGGTTTGTTATACATACTTTAGTTTATAATTTAGCGGTTTTTTTATAAATTACGTTTTATATATAAAATTTAAATTACATTCTGATGTACAATTTTTATTTTTATTTTATTTTAAAATTACTATCTAATTTAATTCATTAAAAACGTAATGATTTAATAAAGCAAAGTACACCAAAACTGTTATTTTGAAAGCTTAGTCAATAGTATTTTACAGACCAGAACACTAACATTACGACGTTTGAAAATCACCGTTACAGAGTATAAGTGAATTATTATTGGATGCACATTTTTTAAAAATCTTTATGCTCAAGGAGTGTTGTTTTATAACAGAAGTAGCAACAAAGACACACGTGCATTAAAAGAACTTTTTAAATTCTTTATAAGGTTTTCATTTTTAAAGTTAAAGATTTGAATAATTTAATTCTATAAACCATTGTAATTAAATATCTTCGACGAACGATAATTGTTAAAGTTTTTTTTCTCAGCCAGTTTTAATTAAAAATTTATTATACTTAACAAAAAATTATTCTGAGTAAAATAATTAGAGTTTGTATAATTGAGTTGAATTATTTTTCTATTAAAAGCTCTTTCGTAACTCGTTTGTGAAACACCTGTCACTTATTTTGGTCATATTATTCTGCTTGAGGCAACAAGCTAATTGTCCTTTCAGCATTAACAACCTGGCATCATTTATTTTGTAAAATGTCCTCAAATCGTTTAGAATATACTCAAAATCAAAACTTTAAATAGAAAACGAAATTTAAAAATTACTAATGATTTTGTTTTTCGATTTTTCAACTTTTTTTTTTCTTTTTTTTCTTTTTTTTTTTTTCTGCGTACTCGTTTCATTGTTTTTTAGATTTGATCTTTGGAATTTTCTTTTTTCGAATACTTCCTTTCATTCAATCTTTTGCTTTATCGAAATATTTTGACCTTAATTTTGGATGATAGAAACCAGATCTTTGATTCGATGTTTTGAATTATAACCGTTAATATGTAAAAATAAAAAATATTTTTTCTATTTATAGAAGACATGCTATAAAAATATTTTTGTTATTGTTTTTATTAAATACTTTAATAAAAACAATAAAAAATCATAAATAAATAAAGAAAAAAGAAATATGCTTTAATTTTTAGATTAAATTTAAAAAGTACAAAATCTTTTCGTCTGCGCAATTTTTTATAAACATTTTTCTTTCATACTTAGAATAGATTCTTGCAAACTATTCAAAGCACGCTGTAATTTAAACTTTCGAATTCTCTTCTTACAGTTGAATAATTAATTCTTCTGATGGATTAGGAATAATCCAATAATGACAATTGAATCGATCGGAAGATAACAAATATAAAAATATGTTCCCGAATGCAAAATTTTTTATGCATAAATAATGCATCAAAATGTTATTCATAAAATATTAATATATTATTACTTTTACACGTGAATAACAAATGTAAAACTAAAAAAGTATTGATATTAAATGTAAAAAAAGATATGTGAATATATTCAATGTACAAATAGCAATGTATAAGTAATAACGTTGTTTATACTTTGTTATTTTTATTAATGTTGTTTTATTTATAGTTGTCCCAAACTGGTTAATATACGATTAATGTCGTCAAACTGTTTTTTTTTGCCCCTACGGTGAAAATATGTAGTCGGCGCCGATTACTGTGAAAATATTATTTTAATTGATGAACAAAATAGAGTATTTCAAATTATTATATTAAAGTTTAGAAATTTTAAATTTTTTTAATAATAATAAACTATACTAGCTAACAATTAAAAGTGTAACAATTTTGTGTATAAAAGGGTAACAATACACATTTAGTGTAAAAAATCTTTTATTTATTTTTTTCTGTTCCAGGCTCCAATCATCTTTTTTTTTTGCTTTTTTTTTGTTGTTTATTTTTTTTTTTTATTATTTTTTTTAATTCATATATTTGCCGTACATATAACATTTACAAGTTTCGTAAATTAAAAGTAATATTTACAAGTCTCGTGAGTCAAAATATGTAGTGAAATTTATAATTAAATAGTACAGGCCGGACTTCAAGATGATCGTAATGATCTTATCACGAAGCCCTTACAATGTGTTTGATATATTATTATGATTATGTTAAATATAATTATATATTAAGTACTATGTTTATATATTCTTTAAATTTAGCTCATAATAAAAAATAAACTCAAAATAAGCTCAGTATAAAATATTAGACATAACTAGCAGCATAATAACTAAACTTGATAAGAAAAAATCAAGTGTTTTTTTTGTGTGTAATAAACAATTTTTGATATATTGTTTGAGAAAGGTAAGAGTCATTTAGATAATACACATAAACAAGTCAGTTCACTTTGTAGTTGATATATATGTATTTTAATATATGTAGTTGATATAATATATCAACTACATATATTATATGTATAACATATATTATATGTATACATATATAATATATCAACTACATATATTATATGTATTTAAGGTTGGAAAAAGTAGTGATATAAATTTTTCGGTAAAATTTGATTCAAAATTTACCGGTAAATTTTAAGTCGAAGAGGGTAAATTCTTCTTAAAAAATTTTTTTTTTTTTTTTAAAGAAATAAAAATAAGTGAAAAAAAATTTCAAAGGGTTTACAAAATTTCAAAATTTTCCGGTAAAATTTCCCGGAAAAATTTCCGGCAAATTTTACTTTCGCAACACTAGGAATAAGTCTAAATAAATATAAAAAATTCAGCGGTGATAGAATTATTTTATATAATTTTATTATTTTGCTAATTTTTATTTATCGTTAAATTTTTTTTGGAAATTTTTATCATTTACCAATTTTATTTTTTCAAAAAATAAACAAAGTTCGAAAATAATGCAATATAAAATTCTATGTACGCTGTCTACACTATAGAAAAATGTTTAAACAATATTTGCTTATTAAATATTTTTATTTATATTATAATTATCATTTGGGTAGAGTGAGGCTAGTTTAGGGCTGCCATTGTCCCGGTTTTTACGGAGGAGAGCGCAGCGCTAAACTAAATTAAAATTAAAACTTTTATCGCGTTCTCCTGCGAAAAGACCGGGACAATGGCAACCCTTGGCTAGTTGAGCAATTTTTACTAAATCTAACAGATCTTATAAACGGTGCGTCAAGTTTAGATAATTTTTCAATATTCGAAAGATAGTTTAATCTGCTAAAAATTTATTTAGAAAAAAGTATTTTTTGATTTTTTTGAGAAGATATTGCCTAAAGTTTGCGGAGCTGTTCAACTTGCCTCAATGGGGTAAGTTGACCAAAAGTGTGTGGTAAAATGAGCAATCAACAAATAAATGATTACGCATGGTACGAAACTTGGGTGAATCATCAATAAAACTTTTACTAAAAGTAAAAGTAAAATTTATCATCGTTTTATTTTACACACATTAATGACGTAAGTAAGAGAAGAGAAAAAAAATGAATACTTAGAAAGTGTCATAAAATATAAAAATATTATTTTATACAACTATCTTTAAATTTGAATGCTGATTTAAAAATTACTAATTTTGAATATGTATATAAATAAATTATTTCTTATCTAAGTTTTTATTTTTACGTTCGATAGTTCAGTTTTATTATTTTTTTTCAAAGTTGTTCAACTTAAGTTGTTTAACTTAGTAGTCAAGGTGCCACATTGACTAGGTTATAATTAGAACAATTAGACTTAGGAAAAACGGCTAATTTTAATCGAAAGTCCGATAAATTGGTAAAATATCAACACTTGATTTCAGATGATACAACAGTGATTTCAGATATAAAATTGTCCGATAAATTGGTAAAATATCCACACTTGATTTCAGATGATTTTTTTTTTACTTTTTTGGTCCAAAATGAGAAAATGCCCATGTATCTTACTCAACTGCTTTCCAGCAATGTTTTGTTGCGCATTATGTTTATATTTTAATTCCCTAACTTTCGTCCATTAGGTGTTCTGTCAAGTGATACATAGTTTTTGAGATACTTTAATTGCCCAACTCACGCTTATGCTCAACTCTCTCTTGCTTATAAATCAAGTGCTCTAACCACTGCGCCACGGTTTCAACTAGCCCCACTCGACCATATAATTTTTGTTTATGAAATATTTCTAATCTCTTTTTTTGCTTTTAATTTGTTCGCTTAGTTACATTCAAATTATTTTTTGTATAATCCTTGGGATTTATATAAATCCTTGAGATTTGCCTCAAAAATAGTAATAACCTTAAAAATAAAAGGACCAAGTTTTTACAAAAATTACCTCTAACAACATAATAAAGTTAGACCAAATATATATAATACACAAAAACAACATCTTCTCTTTAAAAAAATAATCTAAATAACTGTTAATTCTTGAAAGATACTGAGTATATTTTCATCGTATTCTAGATACTGAGTATATTTTCATCATATTCTAGATACTGAGTATATTTTCATCATATTCTAGATACTGAGTATATTTTCATCATATTTTAGACCAGATCGTAGTCATCTTTGACATCTGATACTAAAAACAAATACACAAAAATATATAGGACACATAATAATTACATTTATTTCATTATTTTCACAAGTTTCGTGTCATATTATAATCTATTCCTTGCAAGCAAATTTTTAATTGTATTTAATGAGTTTGAAATATTTAAAAGGAGCGAAGTTTTCATCCATTTATAATGGTGTTAGCTTTATTTTTTTCTTTTTTTGTCATTTCCCATTGTAATAACATTAAACGTGGTGGCTGCAAGAGTTTTCCAAGTTATTGTTTGCTGACTTTGAATAATGATACTTTCAGTAAATATAATCATCTTTTACTGCCATTACCATATATTTGCTGTACCTAGAAATTGTTAGAATATGCATTATAGAGAGCTTATAAATAAAGATTTAAAATTAAATAATGATTTCCTAGCACAAATCTCTATTAATTTGTTTTT